ATGGCCTCCAATCTGAAACAATTAAATTGTATCGACAAACTTTATTTTCAACATCAACTTATAATCTTACAAAATACAATAACAATTTTTTTTAAAGAAGATGCTCGAAAACACCACCTTGTTCTTCAATACATTTTTGGGCACGTTTTTCAACTGCTCGAACTGTCTTAAGTATGGTCCTACCATCTATCTGGGTTATCTTTTCCCTAACTGCAGTCTTTAACGCGTCAAGGTTATCGTACCTTCGTTTGTAAATTTGGTTCTTTAAGTAACCCCACAAGAAGTAATCAAGTGGGTTTAGATCTGGTGATCTGGGAGGCCACTGTATTGGGCCATTTGTTCCTATCCACTGATCATTAAAAGTAGTACTTAGAAAATGATAAGTACCTCTGGAGTTGTGGGCAGGTGCGCCATCTTGCTGAAAATGCAGATGATGTCTACTTATAAGATCCAATTCGTCTAAGAAATTAGTCAGAATTTCTGACATAAATTCCACATATCTTTCACCAGTTAGGGTTCCCTCATAAAAGAACGGGCCAACAATTTTTGAACCAATTATACCGCACCAAACGTTGAAACTGAAACGGACTTCTGGGCCTCTTGGATGTACTAACAAAAGATTTTCTCTTGACCAATAATGGTGGTTTTTTCTATTAAACATTCCAGAATTTGAAAAATTTGATTCATCTGTCCATAAAAGGTAACGAAAGTTATTTACATTTTGGCGACAGAAGCTAAGATACCAATGGCAAAAAACAAGTCTTCTCTCTGGATTCCTTGCCAAAAGCGTTTGAACTGGTCGGTACTTATACGGAATAAATTTGTATTTTTTTAAAATCCTTTGAACAGTACCATAACTGAAATTAGAGTCCTTGAGAATATCTGCTATTGAATTCTCACGATAAGCTTCAAAATATCCAATAACTGCAATTTCCGTGGCCTCGCTTATTATGAATTCTTTTTTTGCCCTTGTTTTAGCAAAAACATTTTCGTTGCCCCTAAATTTTCGATAAAGTCTCAGAAAATATCGTTCATACGGTTGAATGCGAGCGGGATATAATTCACTGTAGTATTCTCTTGCTCTCAGGGAGGATTTTCTGCACACTAAATAGCATTCTAACATATCACACTTTTCTTCATGGGAGAACATTTTTCTTTAAATTAATGTCACAATAAAGCTTATAAACAAGTATTTACACTAATGTTTGACATTATTTGATTTTATCATTGTTTTCCAAAGCCTTCTAGTTGCGAGTATGTCCAGTTTAACAATTTGTCGCTTATCTTAATGCTGTCAAATCGCGAACGCCATGTTGTTTTCATAGCCGTCTTAATATTATAATACTGCAAATAATTAAAAATATTTATCGTTATTTTGACTTTATTTTTGACTTTAGCGGAAAAGTCATTATGAACTTTTTTGTTTAAAATTTGATGCTTTAACAGAAAAAAATATAATATACAGGGGTTTCCATTTAAAAAAATGTTATTTTACTGAAAAAAATCAAAATAACGACTCTCAATTGTTTTTTTTATTTCTCATTTTTACCAGCGTTAAAAATGCTACGAGTTTGCTAATTCAAACAACTTTGTATTTTCACTAATAACAAAGTTACTAATGGTGGACACTTAATTTGGATAACCCTGTATATGCATTCATTTCGGCCTGATGGAGCCATCAAGCAGAAATACGTATCGCTCGGGTTACCTGGTAATTTATCCCTATTTTCTGCTCCAATCAACTTACCTCCTTTTCGCGGATTTTGCCCATTATTTTCCTATTTTGTGATATATATATATAGTCTTTATTTAATTTTTTTTCATTATAATAAAATTTTTGAGCGTGTATGATTCACAGGTTAATATACTTCAAAATCAGTCAACCACGATATGTTACTATACTATACACCTCAGGTGGCGAAATATGACAACGCAGCGCATCCATTCCGTCCTGTCATCAATAATGGATCTCCTTTGGTCTATTCTCCTTCTCCAACGTCACTGCAGTCTGTTTTGTGGTCACTTGTACTGTTATTTGTGGAAAATGGAATTTTGGAAGTACAAATTTTCGTATAAAAAGTGTTCCCTCCAAGATTTTTTTATACAGAGTTGCATATTACATTGTCGCGTACACGTTAGGTCTGCACTAACCCCCAAATATGTGGTTATATTGAGTGTACCATGTACCATCAACGATGGTTCGACTGGTTATACACTAAAATGGAAACAGCAACTGCAATTGTATGTATGAATGTTGAGAATCTTGAACAGTTTCGGACCAGTGGTGTTAAAATGTCGTTGAGGAACTGGAAAGAAGTGCATGAATGTGATAAAATGCAACACGTAACAAAAATTTTAGTGAAAAGGCTTTTTTATGTAAGGGTTTGGAAGTGCAAGTTTGCAAATGTAGGATAAACTGTAATCACACGATAGGTGATGTTAAGCTAATATAATCACATATGGATTACAGAAGTTGCAATAAACATGGAGAAACCTTCAGCTAACCTGAAAAAAATTGATTCTACTCAGACATCAAGTATTTCTTAAAAATTTTGGCTCAATTTTATAAAATTTCATAATATTTAATACACTGAAAACATTTCAATGACAAGCTGTCACTTCATGCTTTACAGTTTTTGTTTTGAATACTTTGATGCTATTTGCAGCCAAAATCTTTACGGAGAGATCTTGAGGATGATGGGGTATATTCGACTGTCTATTTGGTACTCGTACCCTATTGGTGCAAAATAGTGGTCTGTTAAATTGACATTTATTTCTTAGCGAAAAATAGCTAAAAGTTAAATCCCTTGAGTTTCTTTCGGACCTTCAGCGGGTTACCAAAGTGACTCTCCAGAAAAGATATTGTCTTATAAATATTGAATCGCCTTGAAAGTAGTCCGAAATTTTATATGGGGTAGAATGTGGAGAAACTTTGGAGCACACTCCTTGGAGAACCACGAGAGGAGCATCCTTTTTTTGCAAATTCAATTTGCAGTGTCGCGCTGTTTTGAGTTTTAAGTAGAAAGTGGTTAGAATGCGATTTTGAAAAAAGTAAGTAAGTTATTGCAAACTTTGCAACGTGTTCTCTCTAATTGTATAATATAATTTCTCCAGAAATTATTTGGTCACATCGCCTCTGGGAACCTATAAATTCAGCTTCTGGAAAATACTTCAGATTAAAATAAATCCATTACCATTCGCTTCGGACTTTAAGCGGGTTACCAAGTAACTGTCCAGAAAGATTCTGTCTTGTAAATATTAAATCGCCTTCATAGAAGTTCGTGATCTAATAGGCAGGAAACAAACGGCGGACAGGCTGCGAGGAAGGCAGACAACGCTTCCGGTAAAGCTCATTATCCTTGGAAGGGATAGCGCGAAAGACTTTTAAATCTAATTAGCCTGGGGAGGGTCAACAAGCCGGAATGAGTGATTTACCACCCCCGCAAGTTTCAGGCTTCAGAGTTAACCGGTCAGTAGCGCTACAAAATCCCGGAGATAAACAGGAGTATTTTCAATGCAACCACATCGCGAGCGCACGTTGACTATGCAAGTCAGACAAATAGGCGCATAAAGCTACTTGGTCTCCGGTTCTGTAATTATAAGTCTTAAGGGCAAATATAACGGAAATATGAGTGAAATTTGTCTGTAGAGCTGACAGGATTAGCAGCTTATAAGATCTTACCACTCAAAAGACCTTTCCAAGATGAGCCGAATTCTCTGAAGCTTGAGAAAACCAAGTTTGTGCGACTTATTTCCCCTTAGCTACAGTCTGTCAATACTTTTCCACGGTTACTGTTATTCAGCATTAAAAAGCAGCACCGCTGGACCATTTTACGCGCTCAGTGTTTTAATTCGTAGTTGTACATTAGTGGCCACAACGTTAGTGAAGAGAAGTTTATACTTATGTGGTATCATTTGGCACTAAAGCTACACTATAAGTTTTATACAGGGTGACTTTGAAGTTGAGTCATTCATTTTCAGATAATTGTAGAAGGAAGGTAAACCAAAATGTGGGTGTAAAAATAAAACAAAAATTAAAAAAAATGTTACCTTGTTTTATAAAGTATCCTCCCGACAAGTATTTCAGTGCGGACCTGTATTTGATGGTGCGGTCTTGGAGCACCGGCATGCCCTCCCCTGTGAGGTCTTAAGTCACCTGATTCACGAGCTCTTTGTACTACATTAACAAAGGCACGAGGGGTTGATTGCACTCGATTGGGAAACCGATCCGCATAAATCCGTGATGCCGCGGCAGCATTTTGTAAAGATTCCCCCCCACCCCCCAACCCCCCTCCGCAAATAAGAGTCATGTCCACAAGTTCAGCATTTTCGTAAACATGTGCCATTTTTTATTTCGTGTGAGCCACGCAAGAAACACCACTATTCACTCACGCTTTACCGACTGACACATTGATTGAATACAACTGAATAAAATTGTAGTAAAAACATCGTGATAAGCGTTTCAAATTCTTTCGCTTTTTTGTTTCCGATGCGATGAACCGATAAGGCGGATTATATCCGTTGTTGCCAAACACGAGCACATAATATTATTATTGAGACAGGGCGGTACTCAAACTTCTAAAGGGTTATAACTTTGTTACTTCAATTTTGCCAGAAAAATGTTAAAGGAAAAAAACATTTCTTTTGATCAGATCTACTCACTGTTAAAATAAATGACCCAACTTCGAAGTCTATTATATTGCTCTGAACAAGACTCACTCGGGCAGCAAGTCTTTATCCCAATCATAGACTCTCCACAACTTTTGAATTTTTCGGTGAATCATCTTACAGCTCTTTGTACGGCGAAATCTCAATTTTCCTTTTTTGATTAGAGTGAATGAAACTTGGTACACTTAGGGAACTTGAGGCGCTGAATTCGGATTTGACCGCCGAAAAATGGCGTCAAGTATATTGACTAGGGTAAGTCGCGGAAAGATGGCCACAGAGGATAGACGGCCCAGTCTCTTTATTTCGCTGGCTTTCTCACATTGTACATTACAGTAGTTAGCTGCATCGTATGGGTCGGTTGTGGTGGCATTGTGGGCAAAAACAAGATAAAAACGTAAGTAAAAGGATAGTATAAAGTAAGCATTATGCAAAACTTTTGTGTTATATTAATTAAACTGTAATTCTGACGGAAATACCGTGTATATCGCATTATTTCTTGCATAAACGTTCTCGCTAGACTTTCTGAATGTAACCTAACCTCACATTTTTATCCACCGGTCGCGTGGATTTTAGTAAACACGGTGGCCTATACAATAAGGAGAGATGGCCCTATCTTTTCAAAGGAATGATGGCCATATGGCCATCTCTACTACGTTTGACTTATTTGTTCTTTTTTGAAACCCATCAATTGTTTTCGTCTTGTTGGGAATATAGTCGGAGTTACCCACTTTTGATACATTTTTTTTAGATGCCAAACGTGTACGTGCGAAAAAATTTCAATAATCGAGGAAGTTGGACAGAGGACAACCTGAAACATGCCATGGCAGCAGTCAAAGATGGTTTAATGTCCGTTGGAAGAGCTTCTTTATCATTTCAAATTCCTCGCAAGACCTTGGAAAGAAGGCTTAAACATAATAACGATAAAAAAGGGAAGCTGGGCCCTGATTCTTGGTTGGTACTTTCAGTGAGATCAGGTTGGTTATATATATCAAAAATATGTAGAAAAGCGGATTTGCCTTAACCAGACAAGATGTGCACAGGCTTGCTTACGAATTCACCAAACAAATGGGATTTAGGCACAAATTTAACCCCAACACCGAAATGGCTGGACACGCCTGGATGCAATCATTTACGAAGCGAAACCCTACAATTACTATTAGGAAATCCGATGGTCTTTCTCTACCAAGAAATCAATCTATGAACCGTGAGGTAGTAAAAAAATATCTTGATTTGTTGCAAAAGGTCTTGGAGGAAAATCAGTTATTTGAGAAACCGATGAATATATTTAATATGGATGAATCAGGTCTCCAGCTAAACAATCGCCCCGATAAAGTTTTAGTTGAAAAAGGTTCAAAAAATGTTTCCGCCATCACCTCTTCTGAGAAGGGAGAAGCCATTACCTTAGTAGCCTGCTGCAATGCGGAAAGCACATTCTTGCCCCCAGCAGTCATTATGTAGGGTCAGAATATCAAAAAAGAATTTGAAGACAACCTACCCCCTGGGAGTAAGCTTTTTATGTCACCGAAGTCAACATACATGAATTCACAATTTTTTTTGTCTTGGTTGAAGGAACACTTCACTCCCAGAAAACCAGAAGGAAAGACACTTCTATTACTAGATGGGCATACGTCTCATTTTACCTCTGTTGAAATGCTGGAGTATGCGAAAGAAAATGACATAATTTCGCTATGTTTTCCTAGTCATTGCACCCATTTCTTACAGCCATTAGATAGGGCTGTTTTCAAGTCTGTTAAAAATGCATTTTATTCAAACTGCAGGCTTTGGTTGAAGCGTCATCCTGGCAGGCGTATAACACGATACCAGTTTGGAGAATTATTATCTGATACCCCGGGAAAATCTGCAACTATTAATAATGGTTGTATGTAATCCAGATGCCATACCGAAATACGCTTTTGGTATAGCAGATGTTTAAACTGAAACACCAGACGTGGCAGTTCAAATTGGGACTCAAAACTTATCCGATGCTCAAGATAGAATCTTAGAAAATATTGGTGATGACCGAGTTGATGAGCCAGCTTTGATAAATGAAGACAGCGATAATAGTTCAACCGCTATTAAAAACCTTGCCGAGAATAACATTCAACCAGAAGGGACTTGTCAAAATCTGGAAACAGAAGTAACCCCTATTAGAAAAATGCTGGCAGATATATCGCCCGTGCCTAGATTAAGTGTTGAAGCTGCAAAAAGACGGTCCAGATCAGTTGCTTCAGAGTTGACTTGTACCTCAAAAATTGGGTGCTGTCGGGAGAAGTTCAAAAAGAGGAAAGTAGGAAAAGGCGAGGAACAAAAAGAAACCAAGAAAAGAAAAACTGATGATAAACCTAAAGTCAGTAGAACCAAGGAAAGAAAGATTAACAGCTGTTTTACAGAATCTGACGAAGAACCAGTCGCTAATCGTCTGAGCAAAGAAAACAAAAAAATAGAAAAAAAACAACCTGAATGACAACGACATCGGCGTTGTGGGCATCTGCTTAGTCCGCCAAGAATTTGTGATGAGGGGTGAAACTTGGTATAGGCGCATTTACTGTGGAAAATGGGGTCACAAATTATGCAGCGGGCAAAGTACCCCTGAAAATTTTATTTGTGATTTGTGTTCTTCTAATATTGCAAAGTAATCTGCTCTTAGTTTGTAAAAAAATATGTATGCGGCACTTTGGGTGAGTTCCCATTCTGTTTTTTTATCGTTTATGTAAAGAAAAAGTGTTGAGTGCATCTAATATGAAGTATTTTATTTTCCTGCGAAAAAATAAATAAAATCTACCTGGACATCTCACCATAAAGGCATGGCCATCTCTCCTACAGACTGCAGGAGAGATGGACAAATGCCACTTTTATGACATGAGAATTATTGAAAAAACTGACAAATTGGTTGAGGCTTTCGCGGCCAGTTGATAAACTGCTGTCTTGATTCGGGTCTAAAGGCCATCGTCGACCAGTCTACATCCAGCATCGGAAATGGAAGGGCCTCCGAAGAAGCTTGCCACTAGTGCTAGCGGAACGTTAGGAAGAAATTACAACCGACGAGGGCCTTTAGGCCCGAATCAAGACAGCAATTTTAAAGGTAATCAACCTACACATGAAGGAGTTACTCTATACCAAATTTCAAGTTTGTACTTTCCATCTATCAAACAGTATAACCAATGATAGAAAGCATGGCCATCTGTCCTCAACTAACCCTTTGTACTTTCTACGCAATTCTGGATAATGATATGAGTTAACTTTTGTACGTTCTGGTATCTTTGTCGTTCTATTGCTCTGATATGCTTAGCTTTAAGACTGTAGAACAAATGTCAGAGAACAAAGTAGTATTTATTTGGCAAAATTTTAAATTATTGACTTTGCAAACGTACGGTGTATAATATCGCATTTGACGCTCTTGAATCTTTACTACTGGCCGGCCACGGAAACCACATGCAACATGAATAAATATAATTGAAGAAAAATTATTGTTAGTTGGTACTTTTTCTTTTTTGAATGACCAAGGGCAAAAGGGAAAGTTTCAAAATGTAGATCAGATTCTTCGTTCACCGAAATTCCTTCATATTTCCACAAGACTGGCGAACGTCTATTCATTACTCCACACCTGAAAAACTACAGCCCTAACGTTGGCATCGTATTTGATTATAGGCAATTTATATTAATATTGCCGTGGCAGCTACAAGCTACAACTATTCTGCATTGCCGCTGGGCAGCGACTAACGCAGTTTATAGATATAAAAAATATTTCTGCCATTCGAAGTCTTAAGGGCAAATATACAGGAAACACGACATTTGATCTATTTTTAATTCTCTCGTTTTTTGTATTTTCAAAAGCTATTAAGTTTTTAGTCCTTGGAATTGTCGTAACCTTGTATGAAAATTTCATCAAAACCAGAGCGGTACTTTCCAAGTTATAGACAGACCAGAAATTATTGACATGGTTTTTCGTGATGTACGAGCCGCTTCCCACTTCAGTTGGCCCACTTCAAGATTTGTACCAAAATATGCCTTTAGAAACTAAACATTACGAAACTATTTACTTCTAAAACAATTTATTTTCTCAAAAACATTTTAGATACACTCTAGTCGTAAAAAATTCATATTTGAAACCACTTACACCTATAACAAATAGAACATCTGAACAAATAAACAATGTGCGAATAAATGCGCGAAGTTAACAAAGCAACAATTGAAAGATTACCATTGGGTAAAATCACCTTTATTTCTTATTACGGCTGAAATTCTTTGGTGCATAGTGTTAACCAAGTTTTGGCAAAAACTTGGTGTAAAACAATCCCATATTTCTTGACGCTTTTGTCTCAGTTCGGTGATTGTACGAGCAGGATGTTGATGTAGAACCTTTTTCATCTCGTGCCACAAAGTTTCAATAGGTGACAGATCTGGACTGCTAGAAACTCATTTCAAAAGTGGTACATCAGTTTCTTCCATCCATTTTATACCCTTTTTTCAGGTATGGCACGCTGCACCATCTTGCTGAAACAGAAAATCTTGGCCGGATGTCAAACATTCCTCTATCAATGGTAAAAGGGATTCTTCTAAAATTGACAAATATTTGTTTGTATCCACATTTCCATCAATAAAATGAAGTTTTCCTACTCCTCTTAATGACATACTGCTCCAGACCCTAATGGATGCTGGAAATTTCTCTTTTCTCTTCAGTCAGTCAACATGGAATGCTTCACCAACACAAACTTTGAATCCGGCCTCATCACTCCATTGTATTGCACACCAATGTTGAGGTGTCCATTGTCTATGTTCTTTAGCCCATCTAAGCCGATTTTTCTTTTGCAGTGGAGTTAATAGTGGCTTTTCTTTGGACTATAAACAAGTTGTACAACATTAGAGTTTTTACTTCACTTTTTTTTATAAGAAAACTTAGCTTGCAAGTGCTAAATCCCAGTTTGTGAGCCTCTCTATGAGTTGTGGACCTCGAAATTCTCCTTCCAACAGCGTTACTCCACAGAGCACTTAATTGTAAATAATTGGCACGCCTGTTTTTCACGATTATTCTTCTTAATGCTCTTCGGTCGGCTTTTGTGATATTACTTTTTTCACATATCGTGGCTTAATATTAACTGAACCAGTTACGTTATATCCTCTGACAATATTTCTCACACTGTACCGTGATAAGTCTAACAAAGCGTATGTCCTGAAAAAAATTCATTGGCTTTAATTTTAACAAGCACAAAACAGTATTGCAGTTTTGCAAACAAAAGTTTATTTACTTACTTTACTGTCAGTTGCGATTTATTTATTTTGAAGTTTTCGCTTTACGATGTCGTATAAATTACAAATAAGAAAAAGTATCTACAAGTTGATTGCCCAAAGCTGAAATCTGTCGAATATTCCAGAATGAAATCATGTCACGCAGAACCATTTATCGAACAATAGCGGAGTGTGAGCAGGGAATACCATGTCTGGATCTCCCAAAAAGTGGAAGACCACGTGCATTTACTGCACAGAGTTCAGAGAGATTGGTGCGAAGAGCAACACATCAGGTTGGAATGTCAACAGAGTTCGTCAATACAGATCTTCTAAGAGTACGATATCGTTCGAATTGACGAGGAATGGCCTTAAATAACGAAAAAGACTTAAGTGCTCCAAAAACTCTCAAGCGTAACTCCTTCGTATACCAAGATGCGGTCGTCAAATGAGACGGGTACACAATGGAAAAATCAAATTTACAAAGTGAATTGTGATGAAAAACGAGTAACTTGAAATTGTGGTAAGCGAGTGTGATAAAGTTTCTGACAAAAGAGGGACATCAGCTGAATACAATTCTTGTGAGAATGACACTACATCATATCGTCGGCTAAATACGTTAAACTGCTAACTCCCTTTTGTGAGGTTTTTAGGAGGAACAAAAAACGATTTTACAACAATAGTGTGCATTTAAACAAGCCGCTATTAAAGAAGAATATTTTTGATGATATTTTCAACAATAGATGTGGAAAAAATTACTGTATTAGATTTTATGGACAAAAACTGGGATTGGCAGTTGTTCATTTGAATAGAAAAGAAGGACTTTTGGAGTTAGCAACTTTTATTTTTAGTAGAACATTTATTTTAGTGCATTCAAAATGATCAAAACATCTAAACTAAAACATCTAAGCATTCACAGGTGTGACAAATTATTATAAAACTGGCGATAGTCCGCTGAAATCGTACATTTTATCTTTATACAGATGGTCCAACACTGTCCAGGCAATAATGTCAACTTGAAATTTTTTTGAGAAAGTAATTTCCATTCATCAGACAACCGAAGTTTATAATAGATGTCCCCTACTGGTGTATATTTTAGGTCGCGAATATCAGTTACCTGCAAATAAAAATTAAACAATTAAATATACCAAGCACTCTTACAATTTAAATGTGTTTATTACTTTTGGTTCTCCTAGCTTATTCTCTGGTCGAATACTTGTAACAGCTCCCACCTTTTTTGATTAATCGGGAGAAAGAATGATCTAAGTACATTACCTCATAGGGCTTAGGATTTTTTGCAGTGGTATGCATAATCGGACGTTTAGCCTTACTCGATTTACACAACGTGTAATATCATGTTTTCTGCATAAATTTAAAGTTGCGTTAGCCAAAGTCACGTTTCTGTTCTGGTAAGTACAACCATCACATTATTATCTTTCTGTCATCTTTGTTCATTGTAGGAATGACTTTTGTTTCCAAAAATGAATAGAAACATGAGGAAAATTCTTCTGCGGTTAGTCCATCCTTCCCCTCATGCCATGAGAAACAATTGGTTGAGTATAATTATTATAAAAGCAAAGGTGGTGGACGCATAATTTTGTCTTGTTATATGAGCTGCTAACATTAGATTTAGGAGACATGAAAACAGCTTGAAGATCAACACTAAATACGCATTTCTCGTTTTACACATACTTTTGTTTTTATGCTCTGACCTCATTTTGTTTAATATATGAGCGTTATACAGGGTGTCCGCAAAGTTGGGGTTTTCCTTAAAATAAAATAAGCGGTTTTTCTTAGTAGCATATACATCAATGCCTTAAGAGAACCGAGATATTGGGCTCCGCAAACTCAATCAATCCTGAACCAAACCGAAGGCGGTCCTGACCCTCGATCACGTCCACAGCGCCAGCGTACCACTACGATGTACTCGTAATTACGCTAGTATGCAACCTAACATAGACGCCGGTAGTGTAGGTCAACAAACCATTACATTGGTAACCGATTGCTGTTCAGAAAATAAAAAAAAAAATGGCACACTCATACACCAATAGCTAACTCAAGAAGTCAATTTCATTAAAAAAAAAAACAATAATAAATACTGATATCTCCCAAATATGCACAGACGTAATTTAAGAGAAAAGCTGGCACTCCAACATAACGGTAATTTTGTTTTCTACAAACCAAAATAAACATATTTTTACAAAATCAAACTCGAATTTCATCAAAAAGTATTACCGGAAC